TTGACTTAATGGAGTATGGTATATCCATAAACAGGATACTTATGCAGCCATTAAAAATGAAGCTGTTGAAGAAGATTTAATGAAGTAGAAGAGATTTACAGTATGGTAAATGGAAAAGGCAGGCAACAAAACATTTCGGTTATAATCTTGGCTTTGTCAAAAAATATATTTTACCAAAAAATATATATTTATAAATAAAAATCCTAGCTCATTTACATTAGTGTTTTTTTTTACATTAGTGTTTCTTCCAGAGTGGTGGGATACACCACATTTTCTACCCTGTGCTTTTCTATATTTTCTCAACTTTATACCATGACCATGAACTACATTTTCTAATCAGAACAGTTATTAAAAATAACTGTACCTTAGACTAGTGCTCTTTAATATAATGGAAATCATACGTGCAATTTTAATTAAAAATAAAAAGAATCAGGTGAGTTAATTCTGATAATACACTTTATTTAACCTATGTTCAATATTATCATTTCAACACGTAATCAAAAATTAAGATGTTACAAATGAAAATACTGATGAAATTTTTTAATACTTCTTTTTATTTATACGGAGTCTCTGGATATGGATATATCTTACACATATAGCAGATCTCAGTTTGCACCAGCCTCATCTCAAGGGCAATAGCCACATGTGGCCGCCAGCTACTGCATTGGTCAGCATAGCCTGAGAGTGTGCTAAATGGTAGGTAGGCAACAATCAGGTGGCTCAGAAGGGGATAACATCTCACATGAGGACTGGGAAATGTTTCATGAAGGAGAGGTGGCTTTGGAATTGGGCTTGAAGGATATTATTAATAGTACCATCAATTACCATGATACTGATATTAATACCCTAACATTTATTACATGCTTGCCTTAATCCCATTGCGTGGTGACCACTAGGGGTCGGTAGAGAGGAGGAAACAGACTTTCTGAAAAGAAGGGTCACCAGCAGCAGCAAAAGCAGAGGCCAGGAAAGGCAATACACTTGCAAGTATGGGAGGTGAGGGTGTGTTTGGGGAGGGATCAGAGCAATTCAGCAATGGAGTCTTAGGAAAGTAGTAGGAGAAATAACAGGAAAGCCAGTTGGAACCAAGTTCAAAACAACCTCGAATGGTAAGAGAGGAACTTCATACCTGGTTCAGTGAGAAAATGCGGTAATCATAACACAAAACACTTATGAAGCCCCATTTCACAGATAAGGAAACTGAGGCATGGGGAGGTTAGGAAATTTCCAAAGGTCAAACAATGTGTAACCATGTTTGGCCGAGTCTGGATTCCAACCCAAGCATTTCTGGCTCCCAAGTCTACACCTTAACTGCTCACCATGGTCACGAGTTTTGGAACCAGAGACCTGGATTTGCATCCCAGGCTTTTCACTCCTTTACTGGGAGTTGAATCAGTTCCCCAAACAGCTAGGAGCTTCAGCTTCCTCCCCCGTGAAAACGGGATATGTCCTGCCAATCTAAAGTGTCATTGCAGGGATGTAATGACACTGGGCACGGAAAGCACCAATTACACTGTCTGGCACAGAGTAAATGCCGATAAAGGCTGGTTGCCCTGCAAAATGCCATGGGGGAGCCATTTCAGGCCTTTAGGCAGGGGAATGGGATGATTGGACTTACACTTTAGGAAGATTTATGCTAGAAATACCTGTCTTCCTTGATTACTTGGCCGGATGGGTTGGAGCTGGGAGAGATGTGTTAGGAAGATATTGCAATAGTCCAGATAAGAGGTAACGTGGGTCTGTGCTGGGACAGTGGCAGGGAGATTGCAATCGCATTATCTACCTGTAGGATATTAGAGCCAAAACACGCCGGACGGAGAACAGAGTCCAGACTTAAATGACTTATCCAAGGATAAATCATGCGAGCAGTACAGTTCATCTAGTTCTCTCGTTCACTGTTCTTTCCTTCACCCAAGCGGTGCCATTAGAGATCAACACCAACATTTTCACCTCTTGATAAAAATAACAAGGTGTCTCAGTTTTGTCTAAATCGTATACCTCTACCCCTCCACAGCATCCATGGACAATCTCAGGTAATCCCATCAAGGGCAACTCTCCCCACCCCTAAGGAAGGTAGGTAGACTGGAATCAGAACGATTTCCACGTTGCAGATGGGTAAACGGAGGCACAGAGGAAGACGAATCTTACTTCTGGCCCGTATTCTCTCACAGTCACCTCTAAACTGGTTTTATTTTTAGATTAAAGTTTGTTTTGGCTTTGAAGCATTACTAAAATGTTGATACAGGGATTCTAGCGTTCCTAGAATTTCATGTTGAACAGAATGTCATGGGAACGGAAAGGCTCACATCTTTTCGGATTATTCAGATATTAAAGGTTAATTATAATGAGTACAGTTCACTTGAAATCATCTGTAAAGGGAGACTATTGTATTATCAACGGGAAATTGGATCTCTGGAGGGTTTTTTTTTTTTTGCCTTAAATATAGTGAATGAAGGTATACTTTGCTAAGAAAAATGTGTGGAGATGCTATCTCTTTCCATCCCTCACCCAGAGCGGAGAAAAGAAAGCGATGTTTATAAAATTAGCTTTCCCGCCTCCGAGGAATGGAAAATTTTACCACAGGAGGGCGCAGAAAAGGGCAGCTGCTTTTTCAGATTATCGACACTAGGTGGCGCCGCTCAGCTAGTTTTCTTTAAGTCTGTTTTTAATTTCTTATTTTTTTTTATTCCTTTGTTTGGTAGTAGTCAGTGGAGTAGTTTAAGACACAAAAAGAAACATTTTACTTTTTCTATTCCTTTCTAAATATGTCTGTGCCTGTCATATATAAGCATATGCTTATATAATACATAAGGATGCGAGGGGAAGTAAAACTAGTTATTCATCACCGTATTTTCCATGCAGCGCACAGCTTAGTTACATTTTGCTCTTGCATTAATTTTCAGGACATTCACGTACGAGTCCAAATTGAGTTTTCCTTTGTGGTCTGTCCTTGTCTCAGATTCTTTGGAGTTTTGTTGGAGATTTCACTTTGATTTTTAAAAGGGACGTAATTCTGTATCACATCAGAACTACTAAAATGTCACATAACTCAAATACTGGAAAGAAAAATTGGTATCAGTAAAGGAATTGAAAATGAATTCTCCCACTTGAGTTTAGAGTAAAAAGGAATTCTCTGGCATAATTTAATTAGTTGTGTATCTGAGTTGTACCCGTCGTTGGAGTTCAAATTCCTAACTACAAAAATAAGGATGTTCCTCTAAATGTCCTCCAAGATGTCTTTCAAGTTGGAACGCATATGACCTTATGAGTTTGTAAACATAGTTGTATCACCTGTCTGCCCCAAACACCGTTCTTGAACCTGTGTGCATAAGCTATGTTGTTTTAAAAAAAAAAAAATCTGGAGAATTTTCTGTGACACAACAATGTGTACAGTTATGAGGCCCAGCTAGCTTTTCAATCTATGTTACTAGACTGAAATTGTTGTGAGAATGGAGTCGGTCCACGGAGGAGTAAGCTGACTGCTCTGTAGAATCACACCCTCTGGACAGAATAGGTTCAGCGTGATGAATCTGTCTAGGAGAGACTTTGAATCCAACCCTGGCTCCATCTTTCTGGCTGAGAGAGGCTAAATCAGTAATCAGGAAGTCAGTGCGAGTCATCAGGATGGATAATGTGGAGAAGTAAAAGGCCAGGCACTGTGTGGCTCACTATCTAGGGATGAGGCATAGGTTGTCTGTTATTGGACAGTCAGTAATTATTGGGAATAAGTACCAAATAAGATCAGGTCTGCGCTCTGAACCCTGGTTTGGGCCTAAACCCTGCCCAAACTTTTGCCCACGGTGATCATCCTGAGAAGTGGTATTAAGTCATCACTGGGGACTGGCTGCGGAGGGGGAAGTCAGCGAAGTTGCAATACGGAAGGGCAGGGAAGGGCTAGAGAGAGATGGTAATGAAGTTGCTTAACATCATCTGCCACCTAGTAGCAAATGCTGGACATCATGATCAAAGGGGTAATATCTGCTATGAAATAAAAGAAAATGACATAGACGTAAACATATTAGGTCTGCAAGGTAGCAGGTAGAAATGGAGTAAAACTCCTTGAGCCACACCCTCCTTGAAGATGTCCACTGCAGTTGGTAAAACCTCCAGCGTGACTCATCAAACCAAATGGTGCATTTGGAACCCCTTTCAAATGCCATTGTTGGCAAGATGGGGCTCTTTTCTAAGCCCTTATAAATATAGACAGAGACTCTTGGGCGTCCTTAGGCGTGCCGTGCCAATGTCTCATCAAGAGAGAGTGGCTAAATGAGTTGCTAAAGGCCATGAAACATATTAGTGTCACAAAAAATAGGGCAAACTTGGAATCATCTTATACTTGATGTCATACAGGTTTTGGAGCACACCGTTACAAACAAATTTTCTCACTTGTATAGAGCTACTCACTTAATTGGGGGAGATGGATGAATCTAGTAAAAATGGAGTAGGGATGGGCCTTCCTGAACCCCTCTGCACCTGTGAGTGGTGGTGAGCCTGGCAAGTTCTCCTGGGGTGGTAGGGAGGCTGGAAATTAGGACTGAATGGGATGGAACCTGAGGCTGGAGGCTGAGACAGTGGAATGGGGAAGGAGAGAGAGATGGAGCAGCAGACACTCAGGTAAAAAAGTTCACGAACCAAACCTTTGTAAATCAGGGATGGCTCATTTAGGTTCAAGGTGGCGGCCATGCAGGCGATCAACAAAAGTGTCACACTTCCTAGCAGTGAGCTGGCCTTCCTTCTTCCAGTACTATCCTAACACAGTGATTCCCAAACAATATTCCTCAGCACACTAACACTCAGAGATGTTAACGGATGGGGAGAACAAATGATTCTGCATCTCTTTAGTTTAGGAAATGCTGGATTAAACAAAGTAAGCAATTTTTTTTTTGTGCTTGGAGCCCTTAATATGCCACCATATATTATAACTCCTTAAAAGAAAAACTTACATGCAGGCTTTCTCAGACTTTTTGGGTTTAGGACCCATTTTATTTGTTTATTTATATAAAAATATGGAACACTTCATGAATTTGCATGTCATCCTTGGGCAGGGGCCCATGCTAATCTCTGAATCATTGCACTTTCAGTTTATGTGCTCCTGAAGTGAGCACTGGACCTTTTTTAATTTTTTATTTTATATTTTATTTTAAAGACTTGAATTAATTAATTTATTTGAGAGCATGAACAAGGGGAGGGGCAGAGGGAGAGGGAGAAGCCGACTACCTGCTGAGCAGGGAGCCAGACCTGGGGTCTGATCCCTAGGACCTCAGGATCATGACCTGAACTGAAGGTAACTTAACCGATTGAACCTCCCAGGTGACCCTGGACCTTTTTAAAAAAAAGTCATAGAGTATCTCAAGACAAATGTTCTGAGAATCACCTCTTGGAAAACAATATCCTAATGTATACTAATTCATTTCAGATTAAATTCCACTCTAGTAATTTTCAATGTGAAATTTTCAGGATAAAGGAATTCCCAGAAAAGTGAAAGATTAATTGAACCAACTTTTTCAGTGACATGCAAGCCAAACCAAGTGTTCTTATTCATTTATTTACATTATTTGTGTGGGTAGGCCCACTCTTAAAAGTCACAGTGACCCCATCTTTAGATTATTTTTCTCTCAGGCAAATACACTGAATTAGCTCTGCATCCCTACAATTAGGCCTTGCCCAAATGGTGCCACCACCTTGGAACCTGGTGTCATTGTGGCTGTCAGGCTCAGCATATCTATGCTATGAGAATAAGAAGAATAAATACAGTTCCTAATTTCCAAGTCAAAGACAGTGTGAATTGATATTACACAGTAAAATGCAATGAGATTAAATCAATAACATCTGCAATAAGGCATAATGAAGGTAAAATTATATCTCTGGCTTCCTGAACAGCTGTGAATCTATTTTTAATGATCCTCATTTTTGGCAGTCAGCTAACAACTTCTAAAATGTCCTAGAAATTGGATTGTTAAGCAGATGAGCACTGCAGTGGCTCGGAATGTCATTAATTTCAGCTGCCTTACCCATCTGCATGGGAGAGATGGAGGCATCATGAATTCACCCCCCATCCACCCCACTGAGCACCCCACTAACCGGGCCTTGGGTGGCCCCAACAAATGCTCGATACAGCAAGGCAGGAGAGCTGGAGGGAGAGGCTCCCGGGAGGATCATAGGCTGTTGAATGATGGAGAAAAAGGAAAAAGTCCTTGTTTTTCTAATGCCAATTGCAGCACAAAATTGGCTTTCAAGTCTACATCGTGCTATTGGAACCTCATAACACTGCAGAGAACAAGACATTCTAATGGTTCCCTGTTTACCAGTGGGGCACTTTGGTTCCACGGGATTGCTCTGGCCAGGACTTGGTCAAGGTCACACCACCAGCAAGTGCAGGAGCCAGCGCTCAACCCTGGTCTTCTCATTCCAAAGCCAGGGCCCTTTCCATGGCCCAGCAGGTCCTCTCTTATTGAAATAACAGCCGTGGGAAAGACATTATGAAAACTTTGAAATTGAGGAAATGTGAATATTTGGGATTATCCATGTTTTTCTTAGCTGCCTGGCACCTTTGTACTTTGCTGCAGCTTTTACCAGAAGCCATGTCTGGGAAACAGACAGTTGATCCCTTTGGCTAATTGTTTTGAGCTCGTTTTACTTCTCTGGACTGGCAGGGACGGGGCGTTGGGGGGTGGCACCCCACCCTTTGCACACCATTGTACTTCTTGCACCCCTCGGATGGATTCACAGATTCCCAAGTCAGGCTTAACAGCTAGGAGGCTCAAGAGGCCCCAGCCTAAACTGTGTTCCAGAAGATTGAAGCCAAGATTCAGATTCCCATTCAGGGTCCCTCTTTGCCTGGGTGAAAGCTGATAGGAAGAGGATGAATTCCTTATTTTCTTCCCTGTCCCGAGAAGCCTACCACTTAAAGGGAGAAGATTTTTGTGCAGAAGACAAGGCTAAGTTAGGCCATTAGTTTATGGCACTGACCCCACTGCCTGACTTGCTCTCAGCAGTAGGGGCTGATCCTTTGTTACCTGAAATATCAGACAATCAAGAGGTTTATGGTGCAGGGGTGGAGACTGTCCTGTGGCATGGTTTTGAACTGGAGAGAAGAGCTTGGCTCCGAGAGAGTCATCTATGACAGAGGGTTATTGGGTACAAAAGTACCTCTGCTCAGCAAGGGGATTATCTCTATTGAGCAAGGAGACCCCTTCCAATGGGCGACAGGATGGTCAGGAATGTTCTGAAGGGAGAAGCAAAGTGGAGGGAAGGGGGATTTTGTAATAAAGAAACATCATACACCGCTAATGATTAAAACAATGCCTGGCGTGCTAGAAAACTGTAACTGCTCCCAAGACAGCGGGGAGATGGGAGGGATTTCGGTTCACACAAAGGCTCTCTGATGCTCAGAGAAGGCAGGGGAGGTCTAGGGGAAATGGAAGAGCTGGCACTCCTAGGCTCATGGGGCTGGGGTGGGCAAACCCAGGGCCCGGGAGGCAGGGCCCTGAATGAGACACTGGGGCTGTTCTGTGCCAGGGCCTGCTTGGCATGCCAGGGGAACAGTGCACTTCCCAACACACAGGGCACCAACACATCTCACTCCCCAGCAGTCCTCTCCATCAGGCCCTCCCACACATAGTAATGGACAAGCTGGATATTTTGTTGTGGTTTAACAGAAGCTCTTAAGCGGGGGTATCGGACTTGCTTGCTTAGGGAGCACACACGTTGACTTTAAAGTGTTCGCTGGGGGCACCGCCTTTCAGTGCATGATGAGCTAGTTATCAGTCATGCAAACCTCACGCCTTCACATTCATTGACGTGGACTCTGTGTCAGGTTGGTGAGTAGGTTTCCTCCTTACGTGTTGACTTCCACTGTTGACTTCCATCGCGTTCCATTGTGTTTGGAAGGATTCTGAGGCCAGATTGAGGTTCGCAGGAAGGAGTGTTGTGTTCAGTCCGTGAAGTCTGCCCTGGATGAGCAAGAAAGGACGGGAGGCTGTGTCTCTTCTCTCTTATTGCATCCTAGGAGGTGTTCTCACTTCTCGTGAAGCTGGTGAGAGTGTCAAAAATCAAAGGAACCTCAGACTCACAAGTGAGGGAGATGAAATGGATGGATGAGATCTTCTTGGCAATCTCAAAACACACTACCGTTTCAGGCTTTGGAAGCACCAGGAGTCAAATTCAGTGCTAATGACGTTATTTGGGGGAATCGAGTCTCTGAAGAATGGTTAAGTAGAAGCGAGAAGACCACAGTCAGTTGTCCAAAGTGACTTAAAGCTAAGGGTCAGGAATTGAGAGGACTACCCACCAGCTCACCGGATACTCTTTTCCTTCTCATCCTCAACAGTGAGGGAAAAGCAATTCCAAAGGGAGAAGGACAATGGAGATGTGTACACACACACACACACACACACACACACACACACACGATAAATATTACATACAGGTCAAACACATCCATGTTTATACGTATACACGCATACAGAAGACACACATCACGTTCACCTCATCTGTGTGGTGTACCGGGGAGAACGACTCAGAGAATCAAGCTGCAGGAACCAGGTTCCCTTGCAGGTCTGGGTTGCGTCACTCTTGCCTTCACTAACTAAAGGAATAGGACCAAAGGCAGTGGACCAAGACCCAAGATTAGAGGGCAGGCACCTGTTGGTCAGATGCCCAGAAACCCACTTCATGGTAAGTCGTGACTCCCTGGCACCTGGGGCAGGAAGCCACAGAGCTGGGGAAGCTACTTGGCCTCTTGGCTATAATGTAGATCACAACCTTGGCTGTGGGTGGTGCCTGGAAGCTTCACTGTGAGTGTTGATTAGTTCTGAGAGGACCCGCAGGGCTAGACTAAATGAAAAAGCAGAGCTTAACAGTATTTTAAACAAGAAGTATCCTGTTTTCTGAAGTACTTCTGCATGTTAATATCGTTCTCCAAATGATAGCTTTTTAATAAGCTTCATTTCATCAGTAGCATATTGTCACGCTAATAAACAAAGGGATTTGTTTTTAAAAAGAAAAGCCACACCGAATGTCTGCATGGCTAATTTACCTTCTGTGTTAACATCACACATTTGGTGTAGAATTGCTGAGGACTGAATTGCTAAATCAAGGCTCCTGGTGGCACAGATTGCATTAAGAGATAGGCTTGCAGGTCTAGGACAAAGTGCTCAGCATTTAGGGTTGGGAGTTAATAGGATCAGGGGGTCACCCACTCCTCTTTCTGGGCTCAGGAGCAGACATCAATAATCACGCTAATCTGTCGCAGAACTTAACCAACACCCCCCCGCAGGAAACAGAACCTCAGGATTGTTCTGCAGACAGCACACTAGCATTCCCTACAACCTGATAGTTGACACGAACACAATGAAACCTATTTGCATTTAGGGGACTTATCTGCCTCCTAAATCGAGTAGTTTATTATGCGCTCTTCAAAGAATGACAAGAAGTCTCCTTAGATGTTACTTTGCTATTCGGCAGCGGCTGAGATTGGAAACCACCCTCCTTAATTTCATACTTAAACGACAATGGCTTATTAAATATTTTGAATCCTTTGCACTGTTTCCTGGATACCATCCAAAGTGGTGCGATGTAGGGAGTCTTAACCGGGTCTATGAACCCCCACGTGCCCCAGGTATATAATTTGAGGGCCTGTGATCTCAGATGTGAAAAAATACATGTATTTCTATTTTCACTACCTTCTAACAGAAATTTAGCGTTTCCTTCATTGTGTCAGCAAGAAACCAGCATTAGTATCTGTGATTTTGTCATTAATAGAAATCACAGATTTCATATGCCATTGAAGTTGTTGCAGACGTTGTGTAACATCACGTACGTTCATCAAGACTTGGAAACGACAATAGGTCTCAGACCAGGTGCTGGTTAGTGTTCTTCAATGTGCCGATCTAGCAGTGCATGAGGTACTAGAGCACACATTTGGGTTTTTTTGAAGAATATTTTAATAACTTCATTTTGATACAATTGGTTTTCTTTGTTTCCTATATGTCATTTTAGACACTGAAAACATGACTCTACAAGAGGGTCTGTGAATAGGAAGGACCCTCCCTTCAGATGAGGAGGCCTGGGCTCCAATCCTTGCTAAACATTTTTGTAAAGCCTC